ATCAACATTTAGAAATAAATCTTATTTCATTACTAGATAAATAAATTTTAAATATGATTTTAATTAATTTAGATAAAATAATTTAATTTCATTTATCACAAATATTACTTTCAATAAAAATATTTTGTCTGTGATGTTTGTTTTTTTATATGACTTTTTTGTCAATATTGTGAGTAATTTGAAAGTGTAAAGAACGTTTCGGTTTACCGTACGGCATTCTTTTAAAAATTAAAATACACCTTTTGTTAAGGAAGCAAGAAAATTGGGATTACTTCGTGTCATCAATGTCCTTGACAACAAGTATAAGCTGAAACTCTCATATTACGAAAGATTTTTTTCGGGTAAAACTTACTGTAAAAAAACAAAAAACAAAAAAAAAACGAAAAACAAAAACCCTTTGTTTTTGGATGGCAGCAGTTTTGACTGGATGGATTTCTCTGAGGTAAAACTCGTCTGACAAATGTCCAACCAAGTGTCTATTTTTCACTGAATAGATTCAATTTAAAAATCTAACAAGAACATAAGATTTTGATTTTTAAAATATTTGCTTCAAATTTTATGAAAACATTTTCTGTTATTTTATATCTCAACCTTTGAGTTTAAGTGAGAATGAAAATATAAATACCAAAAATTGTACTGAAAATTTAAGTAGGAAAAAAGAATCAATTTTTAAGGAAATAAAGTTATAGCTTGGAAAGGTTAGAGAAAATAATTAATATTTTTTTACATTTATTTAATTTAATAGACAGGGTGGATGAAAAGTTCCAAGTCCGACCTACTTTCTAAAATCTAACCAAATGACTAAACAGGGTAAGCGCAATTTTTTTGAAGGTAAATTCTTAGCTGCCACCTTTGCCAATGCTTCCACACGACTGTAAGTCATTTAAATTTAGTAATAAACTTAAACTTAGTTTCAACGATAGCCCTCGTAAGTACTTTATTGCTATAATTTTTATAAAATTTAATTAGCTATACATTCTTTTTTTTTTTTTTGTTATACCCTTCCTTTTATTTTTTCCTTACTGTCCATTTTTCTTGCTATTGAATATTGATGTTTTTTACCGTCGAGTAAAATACAAGTTGCCGATAGAATTCTTAATTTATAATGAATTATTATTATTATTATATTTTTAAACTAAGTAGTGTTTAAATGTCATTTTATTAAGTAATATTTTAACAAACGACTATATTTGTAAAAATTTATTTTATTAAAATATTACGTATTCGTGAATATACATAAATCTGACTTACATAAATTAAAAGTTAAAACATTACTTATTTTTTCTTTTTTTCCCTACAACAAAATCGACGTAATGAAGATTTTCTGTAACCATTCATAATCTAAACAACGACTCATGACTCCCCCCCCCCGCTAAACACACACTTATTCCTTGATTTCCGGTCACAATTATTGTTTGTTTTTGACGGAAACGTATGTCTGCACAACAGTCACGTGATGTAAAACATCTCAATTTTCCATGTGTAAAATTTCTTTTTTTTTTTATATTTGGTTATCACTGCACTCCTTTTCTCTATCTGTTCTAATCGTAATAATGTGAGAAAACTTCATGACCGAATAAAAATCAGCTTAAAATTTGCAATAGTACGTAAAATTTCATCCAAGGTAAGAAAGAAAATAAATTTCAGTTGACAGTCTTTTAAGCTGAAAATGGTAAACAAAGCTTATTAAAAAAATAATAATACTTCTTGTGTAATATTCTTAATTTTACTGACATTTAAAAAATGCTTAAAAATGGATTAAAGGAATAAAATTAAAAAGATGACAAGTCCGATTAAACCAGTCATCTATTTTATATCCCTTATTCCATGTGTAAAAATTGATGATGGGAGTGGGTCGTCAGCAGTAAGAATAAGATGAAACAGGTGATTTTTTTAAGACGTTCGCATAGTCTTATCCCGTGGCCAATAACAAAAAATACAATATTGCAAATTCTAATTATTAACTGATACAAATCTTGTAAGATACGTAATTCTTTATCACCATTTTACCAAAATGTAAAATAAAAGTAATATTTTTTGCAAGAAGGATATCCAAACTCAGTGAGAAGCAAGAAGTGACTGGAATGGAAAAGAATTCTTTTTTAAACGTTGTGGGACAATTTTACTTCAATGACATAACTATGTAACAACAATAACGTGGTTGCTAGTTTACCTTTTGTATTGTTACTGAATAGAGTTGAAAAAGAAAAGAAAGGTTTTCATTCTTTATCCGCTGACCTATATACCTTCATTAGCAATCATAAGATTGCCAGTAAAAGGTGTTAAAAACATAGCTATAAACGGATTTGATGAAATTTTATTGATTTATTTCTTTTTAGCATCATAAATCTACAAGATGATGGCGGGGCTGGATATAATTCTTTTAGTTTTAACTGTCTGAAAAGCAAAATTTTTAAAACTTTTTGCAGTTAAAATACCAAAGCAATAAGACAAGTTTCTGTAATATTCTCTCTAATTAGTCTAAAAATAATGAAATGTGTTCGTTTTTTTTTGTTGTTTTTTTTGTTTAAAGAATCAAGATTTTTGTCACAGCTGGAAGGAAGTTGTAAATTCCGTGATATTTTAGGAGAAAAAGTTTCGATAATTTGTTAAGTATTTGAAATTTTGTTTGAAAATTTAATCCTGTCCGTTAATTTAATAAATGATTTTTCCGCCGTTTTCATGATTTCAACTACGCGTTACTTTCAATAGTAATTTGTTTTTTTTAATTGATTTCTTCATGTGAAAATCCAAAGTTATAAATAAAGTAAAGACAAATAAAATTAAAATGTCAATAAAATCAAATATCATTTGAGGTTTCGTCTTAGACTAGATATAATAAAAAAAAAAAAAAAAAAAAGTATAATAATTTTGTTCTTTTGTGTACTAGTTAAAATAATGGCTTTATTTAAAGTCATATTGAAAGACACGCTGGGATAGTGAAAGATGCCTTCTAAAAGTATTAAGAAACAGGAAAATTTCATTAAAAACAAAGAAAAGAGTACTGAACTGTTTAATATCAATCCTCCTATATGGCAGTGAATGATGGACAATCTCCTCAAAGAGGAAGAAACAAAGCAACAGAAATGTTATTCTACAAAAGGATACTGAGAATACCATGTAAACATGTGAGCAACGATGAAGTTTTAGAGAAAATGAAAACAAAAAGAAAACATACTTAGAATCAGGAAGAGACAGTTGAAATTTCTAGGGCAATAGGATTGGAAAATTTAACACTCACAGGACAGATTGAAGGACTGAGAAAGACAACGCATAACCTACCTAGCGAGCTTGAGTAAATGGATGAGGGAGCAATGTTTAGGAGAGATAACAAAAAGACAAAAAAATTAAGAGATACAAAGGGCATGGAAGCAGTGGAGAGCCATGATCGCCAACATCCTGAAAGGATACGGCACATAGAAGAGTCTAATAAAAAAGGTTTCATATTTATTTATTAGTGCTCATCTTTGTCAAAGTAGTATTTTAATTTTATGAATCACTTATTTCATGAATTCATGTAACCAAGGGCATTAGTGTGAAATTGAACGCAGTTATGACTCGCCGATCCACTTTCTGTTGCATTTCTAAGTTCTTTATAAATGAAACAAATACTTTCACAAGGAAGTTGAGAAAGGTTTCGTAAAATAGAAAATAAAACTGTTCAAATAAAATAAGTCTTGGTACTAATTGTCCATACATAACAAAGGGGGGAAGTTTTTCCGGGAAATAATTTTTGTAGATTACCATTTTAGGACTTTCCTCAAGTAACGACAATTGACTTTTAAAACAGTTTATTGAACTTTACTGTTATTTACAAATGTCAAGTTTGAAACTGTGCTTCTCTCATTGATATATGCATAATTTTTTTTTTAATTTTATGAACTTTTAAAACTATGTGCGAGTTTTTTTTTTGTTTTTTTTTACGAAGAACATGCCTAAACATTGTGATAATTATCTTAAAATAAATGAAGAATAAACAGATATATTTTTGTAATTTATGTAAATTTTTGTTCTTTACTTGAAAATGTATATATTCGTTTCTTTACTAAAAAGAAATTTTTGAAAGCATGTCTATTTTCGTCCGTAAAACATCAAAATTCAATAACTCTAAAAATTCGGGGATATTACACTTATCGATATTATGAATAGAACACCCTTCTAAAACGATAAAAAAATAAATAAATAAATAAATATTCTTGTTTCTGACAAGTGCTGCGACTTAAGGAAAGTTCTTAAAAAAAAGTATGCTTATCTACAAAAAATTATTTCCTCCCAAAATTTCGTTTACTTAATTTATTAAATTTATTAATTCTAGAGAAATTAATTTAGTAAATTAATATTTAATGTTAGTTAAGACAACATCGCAGATAATAGTAGTTCAGTGAGATATTTTAATTGACTTCCTGATTTTTAAACTTAAAAGTGCTACATGTTATTTTTACTTATTTTTTTCCTCACGTCACGTGTATTGAGAAATTTTTAAAACTACTGTTCCCTGGTCTGATTCAACTCCAACCATTAATATATATATATATAAAGGTTTCTGGATGTTTCGCCGATGTACATCAATGGGCATTTTGTGCAGATTTTTTGTATATTCCTGCCTCTGTCCTGTTTTTGCTATCTAACCATATCTCTTATTGTTTTAGAGATGGTGTTGATGAAGTTTATGTCAAGATTGGACAAGTTTTTTTTTTTAATGGTGGCTGTTATGGAGTTGGCAGGTAGGATTTTTTTATTGATTGATTCATTTTCTACGGCTTATCAACAGTTTGTAGGTTATTTAAAGCCAGAAAATAATTTATATTCTAAGAATTTTTATTTGGGGGGTAGAAATGATTTAAATGACACAAGACTTACTAATGAAAAGATGGATTCATACATTTCCCAAGGGTATTTACGCGTAAGTGAATAGAACGAACCCAACGGAAATTGGAACTCGGCTCTCCGCCTAACAATTCCGTGCGATTATCCATTACACCACCTGCACATACAAGCTTACCTGGTATTCCAAAGTGGCCACCCATTTAGGTACTGACCAGGCTCGGCATTGCTTAACTTCGGTAATCATACGGGAACCGGTGTTTCAACGCTATATGGCTGCAAGCCTGGTAGGTAGGATTATCTGTTTAATTTTGTTATGGTTGTCGGGGTTATTGTTCGTTGATTTTGTGTTTTTTATATTTTTCTTCTATGGATTTTGTAGGCTTTGCGTTTGGCATTGTACGGGAAATAATTCGAGTATTGGGGGAGTTTGAAGGTGTTTTCGATGTATTTCTCTCCTTTGGACAGGAACTGGGGTGGGGGTGGGGTGAGTGTGCTACAGATAAGGGGTCTTAAATAAAAGCCTATGAGTATTCCGTTTTTTTATTTTATTACTTTGGTGAGAGTAAGTGTATGAGGTAATTATTATTCAACTGAAGGTCTATCGAAAACCACACACACACATATATATATATATATATATGCTATTGCTAAATTTGTTATTCCGACTGACTTTAATCGTCGTCATCGTCTGAGGCTGACTGTCTGAGGCAGCTCAAGGACATAGTTCATACAGGAAATGTATCACAAATAAAAGAAAACTCATCTTCTTCGTTTAGCCAACAGATACAGGAAATTATTGAGCGATGAGAAAACAGTTAAAAAGTAGTAATAGAATAAGGGACTTTTTTTTTTTTTTTAAAGAACAAGAAAGACATTAGTAAACATACACACACACACGTGTGTGTGTGTGTGACCACTTCACTACAATAGTAACAGCAGTATCATTAGCGATTGGTTGAATTCGTTGTTACAATTCTTCTTTCTCTCTCTCTTAGTAGCAGAAAATTAATGGACTCAGACATACAGACACTTGTTGGGCTCGATCATAAGACTTGTGAGCAAAGAAAAAATACTCTAGTGTAGATTAATTCATTCATTTATTCATTCGGTACAAAAAAACCGAAGTGTGTTGAATTAAGAGGAAACAGAATTAAATCAACCCTTACAAGATAAAGAGACATCAAGTAAAAAAAAAAAAAAAAAAAAAAAAGCTTAAAAATGCAATTAAGTAAAACACACGTTGTCGGTAAAGGTGTTCTAGTTTGCTTGTTGTACGAGAAAAAAAAGATACATTATTAATCTGAGCACGTTTTCTATCGACCAAGAAGACGTCATCGAAGGACTGTTGCTGTTACTGAGAGATGTCGTTAATGTCCGTGAATCATCGAATTTAAAAAAAAAAAAAAAAACCTAGTCTTTGACCAAATTTAGATATGACAAATTAATTCCTGAACCAAAACATTTATTATACAATATTAAAAAAAGAAAGAAAAGAGAATAAACAAAGAAACCTATTTCGTTCTTGAGTTGTAATTATTTAAAAAATATCTAACTACATTAAAAAATTTTTTTTAATTCAATGTAAAAATGTCACAAGATTGGCTTGGAAACAGACTTTCAAAAAGAGAAAGAAGAAAAATTACTGCAAAGTAATGAAGAAAAGTATTCTTCGGACATAAGATATTTTTTTTTTGTTTGTTTTCCCATGAATCTTCTTTCTATTTCAATTACTGTTCGTATTCGTGAAGTCAATGGGACTGGATTTGTTGGGAATAAATACACTCAATATTTTTTAAAATCACCACTCAACAGTTTAGTCCGGACTTTGATGTGACGATAGAAGAAGAAATAAAATTATCCCTTCTTGAAGTATGGTGGTTGAATGATTGTTAAATAGCCTGGTGAAACAGAGGGGCCGGTTGTTGGGAGATTTAATGACATCATTTATTTCAGAAAACCGTCGATTTTTCTTAATCCGTAAAAAGGGAACGCCGTTAACTTCTCAAAGACCTGTTCTAGTTTTTACTGTCCCACCTTCTCATTTCAGCCTTTTCTTCTTTTTAAAAGGGGGAAAAAAAAAAGGGAGAGATTGCTCACCTGTAAATGGTATTTATTTATTTATATTTGTATTACCGTTCATCAGATTGCACTAAGAAGAAAATATTGTGACGTATATTTTTAAGGATATTTTTTGGCTTTGATCCCCAATATCAATCAATTTAAAACAAACAAAACCAAAAAACTTGTGTTGGGAAGTTTTTTTTGTTTTTTTTAAAATTTAGTATAACAAACAAATCTTTGACATAAAATTAAATCACACGAATTTCATTATTAAGACACCCTCTATTTATCTAATTAAATGTTCATTTGTCTCTGTACTGAGTTTTGCGAACATTACATCCACTCTTCAGGAGACTTAATTTTAAAAGAGTTGATTTAAACTCCGCTAAACTCAAAATGAAGAAAAGTTAAGTGAACGTTTATATTTTAATTTTATTCATTACCATTCCTCTATCTCTTGTCGTAATACAGAACAGTGAACACTAAATGTTGTGTAAAAAAGAGTACTTGCGTTAAAAAAAATGTCTTCCTGTCAACCGTCTTTTATTTTATTTATTTGTTTTGACGAAGCAATATTTTCGTCATTTCTTTATAGTATTTGTTTTGTTTTTATAACCTAAAAATAGTTGCCAGAAACAGGACACCAGGTGATGACACACCCTGTTCTTCAAATTTAAATTCAAATCATTCCTCATTTGCATATGCAAATTAAAAGCACCTGTATAGCAAAACTTAAGACTATAAATCATTTGAATGTAACTGAAAACATAGCTGAAGGAAATCAATAAAATTTGAATGTAAATTTAATTAGAGTGTTCATGTTATTCTATTTTCAGCAATATTTAATTTATCCATTAATAATTTTTTTCTATTTCTGAAATTAGTAAGCAAATAACACGAGGAAGAATAAAAGGCTCCATCAGTTTCTTTGTTAATTTAAAAATATTAATCATTTATAAACAATTTATTATTTTCTAACTTTAAAATCAAGTTTAAAAATAAAAGAAAAACGATACCAGAAAACATGTTGCTGATTGCCATCAGTAAAACTTTGTTTATTAATATTTTATAAGACACGTGGTTATATCTTGTGGCGATGTTAGAATGCAAGGCTCAGTAGAATGCATGACAAGAAGTAAGGTCAAAACTGAAGGAAGACGTGTCTGAGCGTGGGATGGTGACACTCCTCTTGTTGCAGTGACGCAAGAAACAAATCAAGTGGACAAAGACAAAACAAGACCTGAAAGAGCAAACAGTTTTCGAGCAAACACGAAAACGAGCTCTCACAACTGAGAAAAGGAGGAAGAAAATAGAACACTTACCACACAATTTGTACAACTCCACATGATAGAATATTGCTCCTTGCAATCGAACCGGCTCACAATATTTAGAAAAAGGCTGTTTTTCTTGCACACGGATTCGTCTAAGTTTTGAATACGGTTTAGATAGGTGACACAGTCATTGTAAGAACCTTGGATAATGCATTTGCTTTTGGCTTTGTTTGAAATAACAGAATCCAGTGAATAAAGTGAACAAAACTTTAGTCGAGTCTCCTGCATTTTGCTCTGTCTCTCATCTCCAGGCAGGTTACAAATTTCTTTAGTAATATTCCAACCTTCCAAAAGGCACTGGTTAGGGGCGAGCGGAGAGTCACAGAAGGGGCTTAGGTAATCCAGGCCGTGATCGGCCGCTATTAGACCCGAAACAAATCCACAAAGAATGCACAAAAAGAACAGTGAGGCCACACACAGAAAATTCCTCCTACTGCTTCTTCGTAGAATAGTCGTGGCAGATGACGTTTTTTTTTCTTTCTTACATGGTGCTGACACTCCTCCATGCTCAGATGGTAATATCATAGCGCGGTTGTTGGCCAATAATTCTTATAGACTGGATAGATACACATTAAAAAAGCTAGCGAGTCGTACGAGCATACAAGACAAAAGATAACATATACACACCACTTACATGACAGACAGACAGACAAACAGACAGACACGCGCGTTCGCTTGCACTCTCTCACACTGACCCTCTCCGTTTCTCTCTTGGAGTATTTCTTTCTCTCTTTTTTTTTCTGAGGCAAATTGAAGCAGAAGCCAACATGCACTTATGCAGTCTGTCGTAATAGCAATAGGGGAAATAGTTAGGACAGTAAGACTGTAGTGTAATAGAATAAAATGCGCCTGGTACTTACACACAGAATGGAAGGAAAGAAAGAAGGTGGGAGTTGTTAATGAATGTTTTTTTTTTTGTTTGTGTGCGTGTGTGTGTGTACTGCTGTTTGTTAAATGGTACAAAGTGTACGTTGAAGCTGACAGAGAAAGACTGGTTAATTTATATCAAATAATAAATGCAGTGGAAAGTAAATTGAATGACAATGATATCTAGAAACAAAGAAAGAAGTTGTGAAAAGGAAGGAAGGAGGGCATCAGATCAGGGGAAAAGGAAACGCAACGTAAAAGCGAAAGAGGAAGCATTCTCTCTAGACATCCAGATTAATGAGGAAGAGAGGAGGAATTAGAGGATGAGGAAGAATTAATGACGAAAATGAAGAACTGCTGATAGAGAAATGAGCAACAAAAGTAGCACCAACAGAAATGGTAAGTTATAAAAGAAAGATTGGTCGTAGCAAATGAACACAATCACTGATACGATAGTAGTAAGTAATAGTTCTACAAGCAGTACTGGTCACGTAATGAAAAAGAAGTTCATCATTGGCTCAAGTAAATTTTACAATAATTTAGCAGTACTACTTCGGATAACATACTTTCACTGGGGATAGCAGCAGTAGTAGTCATGGTGGCGATAGTGAATAAATAGTAGCAGCAGCAAATGTAGCAATAAAAAAACAACAGAATAATAGCAGTAGCAGAGAATCCAGTAGCCTCAACAACGGCACCACCACCAGCAACAACATAGGCAAGAATAACAACAGACGGCACCAGCCCACCTTTAAACAAGGGTACCAAAGACATTGTTAGAATAAAGAAAATATGAAAATTAAATCATGCCACAAATAGTGAGAAACGTTTAGTTGGTAAGCAGTGAAATGATTTCACCAATAGAATTCATGTTGACATTTTGGTAAGGCTGGGAGAGGCGGCAAAACGCAGTTTCAGCTGTCTCTGATGACGGTTAGAGCCGAGTGTACAACTAACTAATTACCGCCATATTTGACGTTTGGCACCGACAGATTTCTTTTCGTTACGCGCATGCTCACT